AAAGACCTGTAATCAGACACCAAAACAAGCAAAAAATGAACAAAAAAGAAAAAACAATAATTATCAAAAAACCTTTTCAAACACATTAGGCTGAACCTTCCTCCAATTCTGACTGTAATGGACAAAAAGTGGGAAATTTTATTAACATGACATTTTTAAATTGTAGATTTGTAGAATAGAATACTTCTAAGGCTCTCAAAATGAACACACTACTTATAAATTATATTTATAGGTAGAATGTAAAGAAATGAATGTAATGAAAACACTTTGATTTCTCTAGAGGCGTGGGAGGGTGAGAGGATTCACCAGAGATACAGCAGGGAGCAGAACAGGCAGACGGGCCAAAAGCACTGCTGAGGGGAGCAGTGGGCAAGACAGGAGAGGTCTGTCGTGCCATGTGGGTATCTCCCTGGCTGGCTGGTACACAAACCCGTGCTTCAGAAGCTGTGGACAGCTTCACAGCACTGCATTCAACCCACTGCATCACCAGGGAGGCCCTTGTTTCCCTTATTTAAAAAAACATATTTATAGCTCTGATGAGAGGGCTTAGAAGCAATAATCTGCTAGTAGCAAGATACCCCGGGATTAAATCTTGGTTTTTAAATATCAGATTCTTATGAAAGATACTAGGAGAAATGGTTAATTTTAGGACTAGGGTAAAAGAAAATGAAAAAAATAAGTCTGGGATAACTGTCAAAACTAGAAAGCAACCAAGAGGACCTTTAGTGGGTGAATCAATTAACTAAATCAATTAGCACATCCAAATACTGGAATATTATTCAGTGCCAACAAGAAATAAGCTGTCAAGTCATGAGAAGACATGGAGGAAACTTAAATGCATATTACTAAATGAAATAAGCCAATCCGAAAAGTCTACATACTGTATGATTACAACTATGTGATATTTTGGAAAAGGCAAAACTTTGGAGACAATAAAAAGACGAGCAGTTGCTAGGGATTAGGAGAAAGGGAAGGGTGAATAGGAGGAGCACAAAGGATTTTCTGAACAATGAAATGCTATAATAATATAACTATGAATATATGCCATTATAAATTTGTCCAAACCTATAGAATGTATAGCTATAGAATGTATACCATATATACTCTGAATGATAATAATGTGTCAATGTTGGTTTAGTAGGAAGAGATTGATTTTAAGAAGGAGAGAAAAGAAAGGATATAAGGGAGTAAGAAAGAAAAAAAAGAAAGAAGGCAAGTAAGTCTGGGGTACTTTATAGTCCCAAAGAATAAGGAAGTACTAAAGACAGACAAAAACAAAACACCTACACACGCGCACTCATGAAAAGATGATAGGAGCATGCCAAAGGGATATAGGAGTCAATTTGATTCCCAGTAGTTAAAACAGCTTTTTAAAAATTAAAACAGTTCGAGGAACAAGAAATAATTAACATACAATTAAAGTAACATCTGAACTATAAAATACACACACCTAAGTCCATTCAGATATAAATGATTACAAAAACAAGGACAAAGAGACAACAAATTGTCCATACAGAAGAATTCAGAATTCTCCCTTAAGTCTATTACCTATATCCCAATCCACCACTCCCACCTCTGAGTGGGTGGGCTAGATCTAGTGACTCACTTCCAAAGAATAGAGAAAGGGAAAAACTGTAAAATTTCAGGGAAAAATCATGGCAAACACTACCTTAGTCACACAATGAAAGTTATTGTCACTACATGGAAGCCATATACCCTCTAAAATGACATGATAAGAACAACACTTTGCCTCTGGGGTATTCTTTCCAAAAAATGCATATAACTCTATCCTAATCTTGAGAAAAACATGAGATAAATCCAGATGGGGGTATACTGTACAAATCATAAAAAACAAGGAAAGACTGAAGAACTTTTATAGACTAGAATAGACTGGGAAACATGACAATGAATGCAATGCTGAATTGGTTCCTGAATAAAGAAAGAAGTCATTGATGGAAAACTAGTGAAATGTCATGTGTAGTATAAAGACAGAACAAATTAAGTGAATGAACTAAATAAAACAAAAACAAACTTTTAGATGATAAGACCAATTAGTGATTATCATAAGGGATGGGAGTGGACAAACAAGTAAAAGGGGTCTGTTGTATGGTGAAGAGTAAAATTGGACTTTCAGTGGTGGACTTAATGTAGTATATATACATGTGTTGATTTTTAATGATGTAGATGCACACCTGAAACTTACATACTGTTATAATGTAATGCTACTTCAGCAGAAAAGGTTAAGTAAAAAAATTCATTAGGAGAATGACTAATACAATTAATATACGATAAAAACATTTTAAACGGAACAGATAGTAATCTTGACATTTTAGATATATATGATATAAACGATGAGTACTGTCAAAGCAATTTTGGAAAGTTTTAACTGTGTGGGTGTATGTATGTGCCTAGGCAACATGAGTTGAAAATACTTATTAAAATAAAAATATGGTGATAATAAAATTTTCTCTCTTAAAAAAAAGAAAACAGGTGCAATCCAAATAAAGTTTAGAATTTAGCTAATAGTAATATACTAATACTGGGTTCTTAGTTTTTCACAAATGAACCAGGGTAACGTGTTAACAATGGGGGAAACTGGGCAAGAGACATATAAGATTAGAAATTTTATTTAAAGACAAAAACAAAATTCAACTTAAAAATGGAGTCATAAACCCACTAAGCCAACAAAGACATCCTTTTGGAAAATGCTAACATTCTAAAAGTAACTACAATTTATTCCATTTTAAAAGTCTGTTAAATAAAATTAAATGAAAATAAAGCTGAGGGAAAGAAGACTAAAAATTTCTTATTGTATATTAAATTATGCAGTAATCTGAAACTCAATGTGCTGTATATTATTAATCTAAGAACTATGCATATTTAAGCTAGGAACATTTGACTGACATTATTAGAAGTTCTTCACAACACATTAAAAAATACAGAATCTCAATTTTGCCAATTTCATCTCTGTCAAGTTTCACTGTACACTATGTTCTGTGGTTCACTGTACTGAGAAAAAAGGGACATAATTAATATAGCAGTGGTATTATGAAAAAACCAAATATTTGGTAAACCTTATACATTATGCCACTTTTGCGTCATAACTGATTCTAACTTTATATATAAAGGAAATGTAGACTGAAACGCTGTTAATTAGAGGCTATTCAAAACTTGGAAGAAAACGCCAAACGGAAGACCGGATGCCCTTTTGGTGCAATATGGGGACAAAGGCCCATTCAAAGGTTACTTAATTACACAGGGAATTTTACTTTAGCCCATTATTCTGTATACTCTTGAATTAAATATCCCAGATTAAGTGAACTTGCATATTAACTTGCAGATTTTTTATCCAACTGCAAATAATTTCTGTCAGGTAAAAGAGAAAATCCCTAAGGTTAGTGTTTATTGGGCTATAAGATATTAATCAGTTTATAGTTAACCTAGCAAATTTATTCTAAAATTCTTTTATTAAAAAAAACGAATACACAGCTCTCTAATGTTCTTTGAACTAGTCTTACTCTTTTACTTGTCCTTCAGTAATTAATGAATCGAATAAAGTGTCTCATACATGTTCATATTTGTATGAGTCACATTTTTAAATTTTTAAAAATATACTTTTACTGGCATAAGAAATTTTCCATGACATGCTTGACATGGTCTTTCCCACATTCAGCTCTGTAAACCCTACAATCTCACAGGGCTATTATGATTATATTTTTTCTGCCCAGTATTCCAATAATAATGTCAATTATTTGGTTATTAGAATCATCAAATAACATCTTTCTGTATCAAAGATTAATCAAAGGCACCTAAGTAAGGTAAATGTTATTTTCAAAACTTTCTTCCACAATTGACATTCCTATAAGGTATTCCAGTAAAGTATATATAAAAAAAACCATGAGCTCTATTCTGTTTCCCCTCAGTTTTCCCACCTGTGCATTTTATCAACACTGAGCAATACACAGTACAACTGCTATTTCCTAGAGAGATTTTAAAGTCTCATCTATACGAGAAAACAAAGATGTAGAAAGGGGACTCAGTACTTGTTGAGCGAGCATAAGAAATTACCCGCAGAATCACAGAAGACTTTCACAAGTCTTTCAAGATCTTCTTGCCCAATCCCTGTTTCAAAGAAAAAGAAAGTTGAGCCTAAAGGATTAATGACTTCCCAGCAGTCTCAGAGTGGCTAAAATTTAATGCTAAGACTTTCTAGTTTGGTACAGGTCTCTCCTGAGAGTATTGTGGGCTAATTTTCTTTCTTTTTTTTTAATATTTTATTTTATATAATTCTTACATCATTTTTCATCTTTGCACAATGTGTGCATTTTCATTATGGTTATATTCTCCATACAGTTGCGCCCCCCCCCACTTATTTTGACTCTAGTCCTTCCTCTCCCCGCCCCCACCCCCACCCCATCCAGTAGTGTGTCTCTGGTTATAGTTGCTTGTTGATTTTGACTTTTACTTTGTATTGATTAGTCTTTTTCCTGGTCTCTTATTTAAGTTTTCTAAATTCCTGCTATGAGTAAGACCATTCAGTATTTTTCTTTCTTTAAACTAATGATTAAAGAAACTTTTCCTCATCATCCCACCTTCCAGGAGAGGTTCCAGGTACCTCTCTTTTTAAAATGAAATGGGTTAAACCTGATTCAGCAGTGAACCTAAACTGCCTTTACTTCCATAAACATGATTAATTAAATTCTGATTGCATATTTTGAGATTTAAGCAAAAAAGTGATTAGTAAAAAAACATAAATTCATACTTCCATTGTCATATTTTTCATTAAAAGTCTAGATTAATATGATCATATTTTAGCAAGACATTGGACTATTCTCAAATTGTCAATTTAAGTTTACTTTTGGTGAATTCAAGTGGACTAATTGTACATGCTGATTTCAATTTTTAGATTTGAACTCTGGTAAAGGAAGTGTTACTATTTCACTCTACCCAAGTCATAATCAATAATGCATTAAGACAAAAGAGAAAAGGAAATTCTGTACCCTGACATCACTTCTAGGTGAAGTTGTCCTGAGACAGTTAAGAAAGCAGGAACATTGAAGAAATTCTCTTCAGGTACCTTTATTTTGCTTGAAGGCTGCAAATGAAAAACACAAGCCACGAGAAGCTATTACATTTTTTTCTGCTTTCCACATTCACATATGTGCCACAACTAAGAATCATGTGATTAAATTTATTTGAGGACAGGTGATACTCATGAAAATAAAGGTAATTATCTATATATATATTATATATATATATATATACATTTTCTCTTTTATATATATGAGAAAATGTCTACTTGGAAAGTGCTAAGGACCAGAAATTTAGCTACATATTTTCAAAACATACAACAACCAAAAGACAAAGTACATTTGTCACAATTCTCCATAAAAAGTGATTTTGATTGACTGGAAACTCAAGGCAAGAGATTATGAATTAAAATGTTTAATTGTGGAAATTACATAATTTCTTAAATTTTGACTCATGATTGAGGTTTAATTTTCTGAAGGGAATAGCCTCCAGAATATTTGTTGTCATAATAATAGCAATGCTTTCAAAAAAGATTTTTAAAAACAGATTCCAAATTTTTAAACACAATATTTTGTTTTATTTTAAGATATTAAAGGGAGATCGGTGGGCGGAGCAACATGGCGGCTAGGAGACGCTGCGAGTAAGATCTCCCATTAAAAAAAAGTTAATAGGGAGGGAAAGCGGCACGTCCCAGTGAGAACTGGGACACGGAAGATAAACGGACGACTCCAGCAAACTACCCGAAGAAGAAAGTTGCCATAAAAGAGGACTAGAAGGGAGGAAAGCGCAGAACCCTGCTCCCCTCCCCCGCCCACAGAGTTGGCACTCTCCGACCAACAGAGAGGAGGAAAAAAACACACTAAAAAAAACAACAAGAACAAACGACGCAGCAAGCGGGACTGTGAGTGGAAAGGAACTATTGCAGCCACCACACCCCGTGAACGGGAGCTGTGGAGAATCCTGCAGGATTCGCCGCGGCAGTGAGCGAACGGCTCCCGGCGCCATTAGAGAAGAACAAAGAGACTCTGGAGACACGCACACAGCCCCGGGACGGCCGGTAAGCTTGCACGGAAAAGCAAATGCGGATCGGGATCGCGGCTGCCCAGGTCCCTGCGCCTGCGACCTAGGCTTGCAGGGAGACGCGCGGAGGCCCTCACTGAGGTGAAAGTCCCTCACTGAGTAAGCAGGAACCAGGCGCCCAGGCACGGGAGCGGGTGCAAAAGGCGCCATTCCCGCACCACTGAACTGGGCTACAGCCCGCGTCCTGGACCTGAGGGCTTTGAACTGAGACCCGGGGCACGAAGTTCGGGGCGTGGGTTCTCCACGACGGTGGGGCACAAGGCAGACACAGCACCCCAAAGCCGTTGAGGTATACCCTACCATTCCCACTCTGTTCCCTGTCCCACGGGGTGGGGGGGCAAAAAACAGCCCCCCAAGGAAAATAGGAGAGATCTCTGGCGCCACCTAGCGACCAGAAAAAAAAAGTCACTAACACTCCATAGAACAGGGAAATTTCTTAAGTCGGCTTGAAAAGGGCAGAAGGCTCCCGGAGGAGACAGTGGCCAGCTGGGAAGTTAGCCCATGCCAGGCCCCTTCCGACCAGCAGTCTGAGCCCACAGACGGAACAGGCACCCACGGCCGGGGCAGACAGGGCGCTCAGAAGAGTGTGCCTGAGACCGGATGCTCAGGGACTGAGTCCCGCGTTGCCATTTTAGAACAGGGACATTTCTTCAGTAAAGTCTTCCTGAAACCAGCAGAAAGCTCCCTCAGAAGCCAGAGATGGCTCCTGGAGGAGCCAGAGGGGAGCGGAGAAGTTCACCCAAGATGCCGGCCAGTCCAAGCAACACAGTGTCCCAATGCATACGACAAATTAGAAAACAGACAGTAGGGAGTAGAAGAACCACACACAACCTAGCAACTCCTCAGGAAAAAAGCACACCACAAAAAGAAAACCACCCCCTAGATTGCAACGACAGTAACTTGGAAGAACTTCTGAGCCTTCCAGAAAGAGAATTTAAAATTGCCATGATTAAAAAAATGACAGAACTCATAAAGGAAATCAATGATCAGAAGAAGGAAATTGAGTCCCTAAAGAGGGAAGCAAAAGAAACACAGGAGATCAAAGAATTAATGGAGGAACTAAAGAACTCTGGGAAAAGCAGTGAAAGCAGAATAGATGAAATGGAAGAACGAATAAGTACTCTTGAAGACACAGAAATAAAAAGAACCAAAACAGAAAAGGAAAGAGAAGTACGAAGGAAAAAGAACGAAGAAAGACTTCGGGAACTATCTGACTCCATGAGGAAAGGAAATATAAGAGTTATAGGAATTCCAGAAGGAGAGGAGAGAGATGTAGGAACAGAGAAAATATTCCAGGAGATAATTGAAGAGAACTTCCCAAACGCGAAGAAGGAGCTGAAAATTGATATACAAGAAGCAAGAAGAACACCAAACTTCCACGACAAAAGGAAAAATACAGCAAGACACATAATAGTAAAGCTCCCAAGAATCCAGGACAAGGAAAAAATAATGAAGCTGACAAGAGGGAAGAAACAGATAACATTCAAAGGAAAACCAATCAGACTGACATCAGACTTCTCTGAAGAAACACTACGGGTAAGGAGAGAGTGGAGGGACATAGTCAACAGACTCCAAGAAAACAGATGCCAACCAAGAATACTCTATCCCGCAAAGCTCTCCTTCCTCTATGAAGAAAGAATAAGGACCTTCCCAGACAAAGAGAAACTCTGGAATTTCATTACGACTAAACCCCCACTCCAAAAATACTACAAGGAATCCTAAAGCCAGAACCTCAGAAGGACGAATAACAACGAAAGGCCAAAAAAAAAAAAAAAGCTATTAAAAGAATAAATAAAATCAAAGGAAAGACAAACACAATGGCAAATACAAATGCTAACATATCAATATAAACTCTAAATGTAAATGGACTAAACTCTTCAAAAAAAAGACACAGAGTTGCAGCCTGGATTAAGAAACAAAACCCAACCTTTTGCTGTCTCCAGGAAACACATTTAGCTACAAAAGATAAAAATAGGCTCAAAGTTAAAGGATGGAAAACAATCCTACAAGCAAATGGACCAAAAAAGAAAGCAGGAACAGCTATACTTATATCAGATAAAACAGACTTCAAACTCAAAAAAATAAAAAGAGACCCAAATGGTCACTACATCATGATCAAGGGGACAATACTTCAAGAAGAAATAACACTCATTAACATATACTCACCAAACGAAAGAGCAGCAAAATATATCAGACAACTGTTGTCCTCTCTGAAAACAGACATCAGAGAAAACACATACGTAGTGGGAGACTTCAACACACCACTATCAACAATGGATAGATCAACAAGACAAAAAATAAGTAAAGAAACTAAAGCTCTAAATAAGGACCTAGAGCATTTGGGCTTAACAGACATCTATAGAACACTAAACCCCAAAAAAACGGAGTACACTTTTTTCTCAAGCGCACATGGATCATTCTCCAGGATCGATCACATACCGGGGCACAAGACAAACATCAACAGATACACCAAGATTGAAATCATATCAACCATCTTTTCTGACCATGAAGGCATCAAAATAGAAAAAAACCATAAAAAGAAGACAAGGAACTTTCCTACCTCATGGAGATTAAAAACCACACTACTGGAAGACCACTGGACTAATGAGGAGATCAAAGAAGAAACTAAAAAATTCTTTGAATTGAATGACAAGGAGGACACCAATATCCTAAATGTATGGGATGCAGCGAAAGCAGTAATAAGAGGAAAATATATAGCAATAGAAGCTCACATCAAGAAACAAGAAAGAACTCAAAGAAACAACCTAATCTCGAAGCTCAAAGATCTAGAAAAAGAACAACAAAAAAACCCCAAAACCAGTAGAAGAAAAGAAATAATAAAAACCAAAGCAGAAATAAATGAAATTGAAACTAAAAAACAATCCAAAAGATCAATGAAACCAAGAGCTGGTTCTTTGAAAAATCAATAAAATAGACAAACCCCTAGCCAGGCTCACAAAGGAAAAAAGGGAGAAAGCACAAATAAACAGGATCACAAATGAAAGAGGAGAAATCACAACGGACACAGCAGAAATCAAAAGAATAATCAGTAACTACTATGAACAGTTATATGGAAACAAGTTCAACAATCTAGAGGAGATGGACAAATTCCTACAACTCTACAATCACCCAAAGCTAGATAAAGAAGAAACAGAACACCTAAACAGACCAATTACAATTAGCGAAATTGAAATGGTAATCAAAAACCTCCCCAAAAACAAAAGCCCAGGACCTGATGGATTTACAAATGAATTCTACCAAACATTCAGAGATGAATTAGTGCCTATCCTTCACAAACTCTTCCAAAAAATTGAGAAGGAAGGGACAATACCAAACACGTTCTATGAAGCCAACATTACACTAATAACAAAACCAAACAAGGAAAACTACAGGCCAATCTCCCTAATGAACACTGATGCAAAAATCCTCAATAAAATTTTAGCTATCAGAATCCAACAATGTGTCCATAAGATAATTCACCATGACCAAGTAGGATTCATTCCAGGGACACAAGGATGGTTCAACATCCGAAAATCAATCAACGTTATCCAACACATCAACAAAAAGAAATATAAAAAACCATATGATAATATCAATAGATGCTGAGAAAGCTTTCAACAAAGTGCAACATGCATTCATGATAAAAGCCCTTGAAATTCTTCGGATACAAGGAACATACCTCAACATCATAAAGGCCATCTATGACAAGCCAACAGCCAGTATCATTCTCAATGGTGAAAAGCTGAAAGCAATTCCATTAAGATCTGGAACAAGACAAGGATGTCCACTCTCACCACTGCTCTTCAATATAATACTGGAAGTCCTAGCCAGAGCAATAAGACAAGAGAAAGACATGCAAGGAATCCAAATAGGAAAAGAAGAAGTCAAACTATCACTATTTGCAGATGATATAATATACATAGAGAACCCCAAAAACTCCACAGAAAAACTAATTCAACTCATCAATCAGTTCAGTAAAGTGGC